AGCGGCTGGGGAGCGGCCGGGGAGCGGCAGGGCGGGCCGGGGAGCCTGCAGGGCACGCTTGGTGACGGTGCTGCAGCGCTGCAGGATCTCCTGCACCGAGGGACGGGCCGGCACCTTGGGCACACCCGCGGCCAGCTCGGGCTCAGCGAGGCGCAGCTCGGCTGCGGACGACTCCACGAAGCCGGAGTCGTGGCTGTCCCTCGCACGGAGGTGCGGGGGGGATTCGCTGCCGGGCTCGGGACAGCTCCTGGCCGGCTCCACCTCGGGCAGGGACCGCGACAGGGCGGCTTTGCACGCCAGCCGGCTGTCCCCGGCGCTGCCGCTGCTGCCGCTGCTGCTGCTGCTGCTGCCGCTGCTGCCGCTGCTGCCGCTGCTGCTGTTGCTGCCGCTGCCGCTGCTGCCGCTGCTGCCGCTGCCGCTGCTGCCGCTGCTGCCGCTGCTGCCGCTGCTGCTGCCGCTGCCGCTGCTGCTGCCGCTGCTGCTGCCGCTGCCGCTGCTGCTGCTGCTGCCGCTGCTGCCGCTGCTGCCGCTGCTGCCGCTGCTGCTGCCGCTGCTGCTGCCGCTGCTGCTGCCGCTGCTGCCGCTGCTGCTGCTGCCGCTGCTGCCGCTGCCGCTGCTGCCCGAGCTCAGCGAGGAGCTGTCCAAATTGAGCTCCAGCTGCGGGGTGGAGCTGGCCCGGGGCAGCCGGCGGGAGCGGCCGTGCTGCTGCCGGGGCGGCTGCGGGGTGCAGGTGCCGGGGCTGCAGCTCAGGATGCTCTGCAGCTTGTGGTGAGGGTTCTGGTAGGGCCGGAGGCACAGCGAGGGCATGTAGCCAGTGCAGCCGTTGTACCTGAGGGCAGGGAGGGAAGGAACACTGAGAAAACCCTGCCAGCAGCTCGGGCAGAGGGGAGGGAGCGCTTGGGGAGCAGGTGGGCGCTGCACGGGCTGTGAGGACAGGGAAAGCGTCCCCAGGCAGGGACAGCCAGCCCCGGGGGGCTCCTGTGCATCCCACACGGGGAGGAAGAGCAAGCAGCTCCCTCAGGGAGCCGGGGCTTTGGGCAAGCCTCCTCACCGGATCAGCCACCAGCCGTTGTGGGATGTCCTGAGCACCTCCACGACCACCCCCTGGTTCAGCGAGAGCTCGTCTGCCTTCTGAGCCTCGTAGGCCTGCACCACAAAGTACAGGCTGCCTGCAGAGAGGGGCAGAGGTTGGGTTGGCCTTGTGGAGAAAATCCTCCCATCCCTGGGAGACACCAACCCAGCTGTCCCCAAGAGTGACTGGTTTGCTCAGAGACCCCAGTCTGATCCATTTAAGTTGGATATAAAGAAGTTTTTTACATAAAGAGCGTGGAGGCCCTGGAACAGGGTGCCCAGAGAAGCTGTGGCTGCCCCTGGATGCCTGGAAGTATCCAAGGCCAGGTTGGATGGGGCTTGGAGCACCCTGGGACAGTGGAAGGGGTTGGGGTTGGAACATCAGATGGGCTTTAAGCTCTCTTCCAGCCCAAACCACTCCATGATTCCATGACCCACAGGTGGTGGCAGAACCAACCAGAAGGGTCAGAGGTCCAGGAAAGGACTCCAGGCAGTGGGTAAAGTGGTGGGGGTTTGCAGAACTCATTTTTTGAAGGAGAAACACACTTACCCTCCTCGTTTGAGCTGAAGGCATTCTGGATGTCCTCACAGGCATCAAGCTCTTCCAGGTACGAGGCTGGGAACCAGGCTATCTGCTTGTCTGCATTTTCCACCAACCACCAGCCTAGAAAGAGGAAGAACACCCAAATTTTAACAGCCTGCAGGTCAAGACATGACAATAACCCCTAGGTAGAGGACACAAGAGACAGGAGGGACATTCATTGTCCCCCCAGGTAAGCACACAAGTGCAAACAACCCAAACCCCTGACACTACCTCAGCCCAGCTATGAGTCCATCTGCCCATCTATCCCAAACACTGAATCCTCTCAAACCTACCAGTCATGTCCTTGATGAGCACTTCCACAATCTCCTTCTGAGCCACTGTGAAGGGTTTATTCTTTGTGTCTTTGGTCTCAAAGGCCTCGATGCAGCGGTAGCTCTGCGACGCCTGAGGGAGGGTGATGGAGAGGGGCTGGGGGCTCTTCTCCCTTCTGAATGCTGATGGCATGATCACAACACTGCAAAGTAAAGGTGCACGTCAAAAACTCAGGTAAGAGGTTGAGTTTAGTATTGATTCTGGTAAAATCATTTCTGCAGGAGGCTGAGAAAAGCTTCAGGCATCAGAAACAAAATTAAAAGCACCCAGCTGAAATGCCCTGGAGTGTAACTGGTGTTTCCATTCTATCCATATTCTATAACATTTCTGTTTCATGAACAAAAAAAAAATACAACTCATATTTCATACCTGTTTTCAGGGAAGGAAGGATCGAGGTCTTGAGTCTGTGCCTTGAAAAACTGATTCACCTCTTCCCCCCGGGAGATTTTCACATCAGTCTTCAGCAGCTCCTGGGAATACGTTTCCAGCAGTTTCAGGATCTCCAGACACCTGTTCAGCTTCCCACCCTTCCTCTGCTGCATAGTTATTCCTTCAAAATAACAAGGGCACCGTTATTGAATAATAAATAAATAAAATAAATAGGACAGCAGTGGATTTGGATCCCTGGGAGCAGCATCTTTTCCCTCAACACCAAGTGTCCTCACCCACCACCCCTCCTGCCCAAGCCCAAACTGTACAAAGTCACTGTCCCTGCCTCCCTGTCATTTTTAACAGTTCCTGATAGGATTTTTTAACATCCAAAATTTCTCTCTTTTTTTTTTTTTTTTTTTTTTAGAATTTTATTTTTTATTTTTTTTTTTTTTTTTTTTTTTCCTACATGGAAAGTTTCAAGAAGCTCTAGGTCAATATTTGAAGTGTAGCATTAATTTGCCAAGTGCAGCTATCTATTAAAAAAGCCTTTCTGGGTCATTTTAAGTCTGTACTAGACCCAAACAAGCGGATGTGACTCAGTGACACCATGGCAGGAGCAGGAGCAAGCCCCTGATCTGTTCCAGAGGGAGGTCAGGCTCAGAGATCTCAGTCTCTGTCATGGTTATGGCTGTCCCTGATCACTCTCATGTTTGTTGGTCCATCAGAGATCTGTCCTTACCTTTAAACCTGGGTAAACTCCTCAGTGACCCATTCTCAGTGGGGAATTTTCTCTTCAGCTCTTTCTAAAAGCAAGGAGAAGGAAAGAACAGTGATTCCTGACAGCTGACACACGGCCAGGATCCTTCCTCTCCCCAGGACAGGAACCTTGACATTGCAGGAATTGAAGTTCACTTACATGGAATTTCTTAAAGTCTTCAAACGTCCTGTAGATGAGAATGTTGTTCTGATCTGACCAGGACACAAACATCATGTAGTTCTGGGAAAAGAAAAGGGAAAAGAAAAGCAATTTAATCACAATGTTCCATTTTGGAAGCTTCCAGGCAATCAGCATTTGCTGTGGTTTAGTTGAGGTTTTTAATGTCACATTAAAAAAAATTAAATAAAACATTAAACCTCCAAAAAGATTTCCTTAATTTCATAGTCCCAAATGGGTAATCATTGCTGAAACCAGGAGAATTTTATGGTGCTGTGACAAAAAGAGAGCAAAACCCAAGATATTAAGCTTATTAAAAAACAAGTGCCCTTGTCCTAAACCGCCAATCCAAATACTATGGGGAATAAGCAAACATATCCTTGGAAGAGTAAATAAAAAAACCTCTAGCCTCCCAGTTTGCAAATTATATTTAAGGAGGAAAAACACAAAGCCAAAAAGAAAGAATAAAAATTAAAATACCTTCTGTTTTCTGCACTGCATGAAGCCCACAGCCTTCACATCCACGGGATGCCTGTTGCAGCTCATCCTCCCCGCGGCCGCTGCTGCTCTTTGGCAGAGGGATGTGCGAGGGAGGGATGGGAGCTGGAGGGAGCAGAGATGCTGCTCCAGCCCGGGCGGCCGCGGTTAAATGCCCGGGGGCAGGAGCAGAGCAGAGGTGTTCCCGAGCTTCCTCCTCCGCCCAGCCCCGTGCACGAATCCCGTGCCAAACTGCCGCGTGCCTTTCACCTTTCCCCCCACCTTTAACATGCAAATGCTGCCCGCTGCAGGCGGGACATAGTTCAGGGAGCGGGGAGAACAAACGCATTATTTTATCACATCCTTACTAATCAGTGCCAGGAAGGAAGGGAAGGGAGCCGGGGCTGTTTACCAGCGCTGGGTTAGAGTAAGTCCCAGGGGCAGCAGCACCTGCCCCGAGATATTTCCGGGACACCTGTGAGGTTTTTATGGCTGTATTACACGGACCTGCGACTCAGGCTGAGCTCACTCCAGCCCCAAAGCCCGACTGAGAACAGTCTGGGTTAGGCACCATTAAACGTGACTAATATTTGTTGCAAATATTTATTTTTTTTTTCCCTGCTTTGTCCCGCCTGCCGAGTTACTTTAAATAGATTTCTGACAGTTTTATCAACATCTCCATTGAATGAACAGACACATCCCCAGGATGTAGCTAAAAGACTGAAAGCTCCTCGGGTGAAAATAAGTGATGGAAATTCAGCTCTGAGCGCTCTGCCCTGCGTCCAGCCAGGTGTCCACACCCTCACAGGGCAGGCAGCAGCTCTTCCTAAGGAGCAGCTCCAGTGCCCAGAGGCACAGCAGGAGAGATAATTCCAGCCTTGGCCAGCCTGTCCTCTCCCTGAACCTCAGGGCTGATGGGCACTGTGTGATCAAAGCTCCTCTTCTTTGATAAATCCTCAATTGAACCATTATCACTATAATTATCTTTATCATTATCATTATTGGAACCCAAACTGAGAGGCTCCCTTTCATTTCCCAGCTACACCTGGTGTCTCAAACCCTCAGCAGTGGCTGCAGATGATTTTTCATCTACCAAAAAAAACAACAAACCACCCCAGAACTGGAACACGAAGCCAAACCAGATTTTCTTCTGGAAAATACAGTCAGGAGGGTCTTGGTTTGTGATCCATGAGCACAGGAGGCTGCTCCCACCCAGCAGGGCAGCAGTTTCTGCAGACAAAGAAAGCAGGTTTATTGCAGTTGGATTTATTGCTGCTGGATATCTGTCCTGCATTAAAAAGGGAAAATGATCCAAAAAGCACTTTGGTTCGGTGTGGATTTTGGAGAGAAAATCTCTCCAACAGCATCTCCAAGGCATTTCCTGGCTCAGGAAGCTGCACAGGAGCTGCCCTGTGGAAAAGGGATGTGGAGCAGCTCCCTGCCCTCCACAGCTCTGGAATCAGACCCTCCATCCCTCTGTTAGCCTCCAGCCAAACCATGTGCTGGTAAATCTCCCCAGATCAAACAGTGAGGATTTTATGGAGTGAGAGGAAATCACTTCATCCAGCAAATTTATTGAGAAAATCCCAGACTCTGAGGTGCCAAAACACTTTGCTGACTCTCTGTCCTCAAACCTGCACTCCTTGGCTTCTCCTTGGCAGCCAAGCCAGGGCCAAGCTCACCCTCACGTGGCTCTGTTAAGGGGCTCTTGGAAATATTTGGGACCAAGACTCCCAGTGAAGCACCTTGGCTTGGTTTCCTGTCCCAGAGCAGACACAAACCACAATGTATTTTCAAGAACGTAAAGGTTTAAACATATTTATCCTGACTGGGAAAAGCCAAAGACAAGGAAAGCCTTGGAGGAGCTGCAGGATGAGGAGATAGCCAGGGAGGCTCAGAGAGCACCTTGATCTGCAGATGCCATAAAAACCAGAAGAGTAGGAAACAACCTTGGTTTTGCAGTGTTTCATCATTCTCAGGGGATTCAAGCAGAAAGAGGGGAGTGGAAAATGTTGAATGGAATGTTACAACAAGGAGGTGAGGTTACACAGGGGTTTACAAGTCACCCGAGGCAGAAGGACCAGCCCTGCAGTTTGGAGAGCTGATCTTCTGCAAAAGATTGGACTGACTGGCAGGTTGCTGGTGGCTGCGGTGTTGCAATCAAAGCAAATATGAGCAAAACTGCTCAAAACTCAATAATTAGTTACTGAGAAAATGTTTTGCGGAAGTGAAGGGCTCAGTGACACAGAACTGAGGTGCAGGGAGGGAGGGGGAAAGCCTGCCACTCCTCTGAGACACCAACACCTCTGGAGTCACCTGGAGGGCTCAGTTCCAGCCCTGCAGCTGTCACAGCAGTGTCGGAGCCCTGGCAGCATCAGGTGTGATGTCACGAAACGCTCTGCTCCAGAATGACCTCAGGAGCCACGTCACATCTGCAGCGACACCGCCTACGAAACCAGAAGGAAGCTGGGCCAGATGGCCTTTGGATGGGCACGGTGCTCCCCAAAGCTCTCCACAACTCTGGCCATGCCAGGGCCATTCCTGTTGGCAAGGAGAGGCCACAACTCCACTTCTCTGCTGGATGCATTTGGACTCGCTCATAAAAAACAAGACAAACATGGTTTTTCTGGCATTATCAAGTTTACTTTTTGTCTTCTACGCTTTCCATGTCATCCTGCCATAAATAAGTGCCTCCTCTTGGGTAATAATTAATGGTAGGGAGGAGGGGGTCTGCCCAGAAAAAGTGGGACTCAGCAAGAATTGCTGGACACTGCTGTTTCACCGTTGATATTTATTTACACAGCTCTGAGGGCAGCAGTTAATTTTCCTTTAGTTGTTTTACAAGGTAACGAAGAGATCATAAATTAACAGGCAATATGTAGGAGGGCACTGCCCAGCTTTGCCAAGATACAGGAAACATGGATTTTTCCTTAATGACTCCCATGCAGTCTGCTCCAAGAGAGCCTCCTGCACCCCACCAAGGTGGAGCTCTGCTACTCAAGGAGCATCACTCCAGCTACAGACTGCTCCTCTGGGGACAGAAACACGTTTGTGTCACAGCAGGAGCCACACCAGACTGCCTGCCCCAGACTGCCCACGGCTGGGAAGATGAAGGAGGTCACCCAGAGGCTGCAGGAAGGCCCCAGAGCCACCAGGGCTGTCCCACAGAGTGTTTCCATCCCCAAATTGGCCTCCCTGCCATGACAAATAATCACAGATGCTCTGCTTTTCTTTTCATTTCGGTGTGGATCAGGAGTAACTTCAGCAGAAGCAGAATCTGAGTGCACAGATGCTTGGGGGCAGCCAAAGGCAGCTCCTCTGCAGCTCCTCCCGAGCCGTTTTCCAGGTGCAAGAAGAAACAGCCTTGTCCCAAATGCTTGGAGAGGAGCAGCTGTGTTCTGAACACCTTTCCTGCACACAGAAGTCATGTCTGGGCTGCTGAGTGACCTGTGCCCCTCACAGCTGACGATGTGTGGGACTCTGCATCAGGGATTTCTCCTTCTACGGCCGGCACAGGAAAGGCAAAGAGAGGAAAAGTCCTCAAACCACCCTCAGGACTCTGCAGCTGCAAGGAAGAGCTACAGAAAGGAGCTGTGGGCACAGCCAAGGGGGGCCTGGAACAAAGCGGGTGGGAAAGCTTCATCTTTCCCTTGCTCACCTTCAGGATCAAAACCTGCCCTTTACTGTTCTTGAAGGTCACCTGTGATGACACATGACCTATCAGCACCTTTAATGAAAAGCCCAGATGCTAAAAGCCGATTTTAAAAGTACAAAGAGGTTTTAGACTTTTAATAAAGAGAGAAGTAGACCTTTATTTAAAAAGAATAATGAAAACCCAGCACTGCAGTTGACAAAAGTCTCCTTCACCTCGTGAACAAAGGAAGCAGTTGAACTTTCACACAGGCTGGGATGAGAGATTTTGCAGTAACTAATCCAGAAGAAAGTATTTCTTTTCATCCTAATTCCAGCACCTGCTGCAGGCACTAAAGCATTTCTCTGTGGCAGACCCAATTCAGAAACCCTTTGAGCCCAGGGAGCAGCTCAGCCCTTTCCCACTCCATCGTGGGAGCTTCTCAAGGTGCACATCCCTCTTCAGTGCTGGGGGCTGCTCATTCCTCAGAGGCAGCTTTATTTCAGGATCCCAAATCACAGCACCGCATCCAACTCCCTCAAACCTCACTCCCGAGGCATCACTGTCTTTGCAAAGCCCTTGGAATGGCCCCATCCAGCCCAGGGAGAGCTCTGCCCATCTCAGGAGCTTTGTTCTCTGCCCGAGGCATGCACAGCAGACAGGCTTCTGTTTACCAAGCACCTGTTGAAATGATTTCATAGTTCTTTTATAAAAGTGACATGTTTTCCTAAGGTTATACAAAATACAAAAGTGTGATTCAAGAAAGAATTTTCCAGAAAGGGTAAGAATGTAACTTAAGCTGTTTCAAGAAGAGGAGGTTCCCTGAATTATTTTCTCAGAAAAAAGCAGTGTTTGATGAGTGCATGGCACGAGGCCAGTACTGTGTGGACATGCTGGGGCTCAGGAACGGGATGTGAAGGGATAAGAAAAGCAGGGTGGAATTTCCAAGGGTGTTGGAGGCTCTGCAGTGCTCAGCCTGCCCTACCCATTCTGAAAACTGGTGGGAGAAAATCCCAGCAACACCAGGACAGCCAACAGCAAGCACTGCAAGCACCAGCAAACATGGAGAAATACTGTTTTCACTTGGGGAAAATCTGTTCTTACATCATGCTAAATATAGTAAATTGATCAGAGACAAGACCGTTGTGTTCCTTTCAGATTAGTCAGAGATGCTCATCCCACTCTTTCCCTTTCCTCATTCCCCACGGCCATCGAGGAGCAGAGTATGCAAAGCCTTATCTCTCCTGAGGATTCCACCAGCACCAGGAGCTCTGGCTAAAAGTTCACCCTTATTTCAGAGCAAAAACAGCAACTTGTGTTCCTTGGCCCCTTCAGAAACCAGGCAAAACCAGATCCAATCTTTACTCAAAAGCCTGGTGGGAGAAGAGCAATGTGGAAGGAATTGTTTTTTCATCTATGTTTAATTCTTAATGAGTCC